TTTGAGATTTTATGAGGTGTAATGAATGACAATAATTAAAGAAAAATCTTCATGATAATTGAAAAATATGTTGATTAAGTAATTCATCAAAAAAATAAGAGTAGTTTTAACCTAACATCATTTAATACTATATATTGATGTAAATTATCAGTTGATTAATATATTATCAATATATACAATTTTAAATTTATTGAGAAGCTTATTTAAATTTAACAAGATTGATAAAAATAAGACAGAAAAGTACAATCAATTTTTTTGATAATTTTTTCACTTATAAAAAATTAAGAAATATTTTTGGTTAAATATTACAAAACATTGGAAATATTTTTATTAATTATTTCAAATTATTTTTAAAATTAAAGGCTATTATTTATTTATTTATTTATTTTCAATCTAACATGAATGATAAATCTTCAATATTGCAAAGAAACACTTATTCAACCTTTTTAAAAATAGAAGATAAGTGTAATCACATCAACAATCCAATGAACTAGAGTAAAAACTTCATGATTCAATATTTCTTAAAAATTATATTTGAATATCAAATAAAGATATAAATTAAGATGTAATAGTGATGTTTATGTAGTAATAAGAATTACTAGTTTGATAATGATGATTTAAATTAAAAATTTTAGACATGATGTATCACTTGTTTTAAAAAGAAAAGAAATATTATAATGAGTAATGAAAATTCAACCCTATTACCTTGACTTTCATAGACTTTCCAGCAAAACTTATGTGACAATATTGACAGCAAAAGCCTAACTTGAGGAATGAAAAGAAAAATTAGAGAACATACATTTGTTGTTTTGTTGACAGCAGGAATTTAAAAGTAAGGGAATGTTGTAGGGTGGATGACACAAGAACGATATAACCATTTCAGTGTGTGAAATCATGGAGTAAAAACTGGATACACTTTTGCATGAAAAAGCAGAAGTCAAGTCAGTATCTTTTATTGTTGAATTGAATTAATTTAAAGTAAAAGTAGATCAATACTTTCAGTAAACTGAGTTTTATTTCATTTCAACATGACAAAAGAATATCTCAACTCACAAGTAATATGCATAAGTATGTGCTAATATATATATAGAAGTACACTAAGTATAAGTATATGTGGGGGCGGCTAGTTAGCCCTCACACTACTATTTGGACGTCATTCATTGGTTTACTCAGGTTATAGGATCCGCGAATTTCCAGTCTGTTAGATCGACCGTTTCTTTTCCCCAAATCTAAAGCATATTTGTGCCTAGCATTGTATAGTTCACAGGCCTTACATTTTCATGCTCCAGGAAACCAAGTCAACTCCCAAGTTCATTACGCACCAAGGGGAACTCCAAAGTGTGCCCATCTTGAGACTCAAACAATAGTTGATACTCGAGTATAAGCCAGACAACTTTATGAAACCAGAATCTTGGTCAACTTAACCAATAGCTCAATTGAAAGCAGCACGAAGTCTAGTGAAGTTATCATCCACAAGAAGGAAGCTACATGGGCTAATTTACAAGCTCGGATGGCAGAATTCATTGCTTTTGAATGCTGTAGAGTGAACGGTTAGCTGTTAAGTGCCGCTGCGATTTTAGTCCAGCCATAAACATATGAACTTTGAAGTGCACTCAACCACCTCACTTACCTCAACTAATACTGCGGCATGTTTGAGGTGAGTCCAACAGTTTTTTTTTCATCGCACGGACCCTATAGCCAATGAGTGTCTTCGATACAGTAGGGTGAGGACTAATTAGACCAAGGTGAGTTATAACTAGCCGCCCCCATATATATATATATATATTCATTCTTACTTACTTACTATTGACCGGAGCCTAACATTGGGTGACATTATTTTTCCATGGTGGGCACAAGTAATGCTAAGGGCAGTATTTGTCAAGATCTCACCAAGAATTGGTGTAACGGGTCAATAACACAATTGGCCTAAGTTGAATATCATGGGTAGACATAGGTAATGCTATGGGTGCATATCCGAAGTATAATGTTGGCCTCTCTTCAGATTTTCTATTGTTCTATTGACTTTGATAACATGTATAGTTCCTTCATCAGAACGAGCAGTAGCGCCATGTCTTTTATTGATTCATTGAAAATGAACTCTAGTTTAGAGATTCAAATTCTCGACGCCAAAGAACTTTTTCTTTTGTGTCTTGATTCCCATTTTACTCGATAAACATTGAGAATTATCGCGACAAACTTCTTTCAGTCGATTCAGGCACTGAATGGAAAAGACGCAGTGACCATCTGTCATAAATCCCATGTCAAATAGCCTCTTACCCACGAGCTGATAAAAGAAACAATTATGATGGCACGTCGAATTAGAGCTTTATTTGCTTGAGCCCATAGGGAAAACTTTTGGCTAGATAAACCCCGACCGTAAACTATCCGGGTTGACGGTACACCGTTCGTGTGTCGCCGTCATCCGGGGTTTTGCGTTTCGCTCCCAAGACGAGTCCTGCCGGGTTTTTCGTCTTGCATTTCTTGGATTTCGTCCAGCATTTCTTTCGCATCCGATTGGCGATGGCGGATCAACCTAAACCCATACGATGTGCGCGACAAGAGCCTTCGTGCGGGGCGTATAGTCTTGGATCTTCGAAAGATGAGCTTGTCAGCCGTGTGTTCAGCCCAGAGCGAGCTATTTTTTCGCCTTTTACTAAAGAATACCGTGTGCGGGACACACAAGCGGCTAGTTCAAATTTCTGGAACGCTCCTTCATTGGAGCACCATCCCACCAACCAAAACAAGGATTTCAGTGCTACTGACTGAAGGATTACCACGACTGCACAATGTATTTGTTTTCCCATGACATGGTAGCAGATTTGCTGTGTCTGCGGGAGTTCTTGTTTGGATTCTCAGAAACAAGAGATACTGCCGTGGCCGTGGAGATATACCAGAAATCCTTTAAAGCTTTAACACTTCGAGCACAAAGTAGGCTACGGAGCTGTAGGCGGCTAGGCCGTTCCAATCGCGTTTATGAACGGGAAGAGTTGATTTCGAGACGTGATGCATAATACTCGTTCATGCCTAGGCCTCTATCACAGGGATGTGCTTATTTTCCTCATACTATTCAGTGGAATCCTCATTATCAGAAGTGACTGCCGTGTCTGAAGAATGATCCCACCAGCTGGCTGCATGAATTCTAATCTTGTGAACCCTAAGCCCTGCAGTCACGAAAGGGCTGGTGAACAGGGAGGAAGCGCTCGTACCTCGGTTACCTGCTACTTCAACCACTTGGGCTCTTCATTCGCTCGAACACTGGGCTGCAGGGAGAGTACACTCTTCTTGAACCAGAGTACGATTTCAGTTTGAGCTTCGTGGACAACCGATAGGTAATCCGGCTGCCCACCATGGAATCCTATGATAAGAATGAAGTGGATCAAAATTGGAACTCACCGGGGATAACCAGAAGGGATCCTCAGTGAGGAGCCTCAAATGCACTTAGTGGACAGACAACCATGGAATGAGCCACTTTGGACAACTACAATAAGTGTGGAGGCAGTTTTCATAAGATTCAATTTCCCTACCCATATTGATGTCCTCATTCCCCGAGACTCGCGTCCAACTCCAATCAACTCCAAGTCCGTTTCCAAGCTACAGAGGAGGTTTTCATGGAACGGGGCTTGTCTCTTCATGAGAGAACCTCCAGTGAGCTAAAACCAGAACCTCAGAAAACGTAGGATGGTTTTTATGTGCATCTGCATTCTTGCATGGGAAAAGCACCTACGCAAACAACTCTCACGTTCGTGTTCATCAAGCTTGAAAGTGGGTGAGCACTTTTACAGTCCCAGTTAAATACATACCTCGTGGGGTGACGAGAAGAAGCCAAATGTGTATCCATGCGACTCGCCGTCTGCACCAGAACCTGACCGGCGACTGGATGGCCCAGTCCAGTTCCAGCATAATGAGGAAACAGAGCTTAGTTCTGTAGTCTGACAAGTCATCGCTAAATCGATGGTCAGCTAAGAAATGGATTGACTTGTTAATTTCTGTCCGAAACATCTCGTGAATGAAAACCAAATTTCCAGTTCTCTTGTCCTTCTTCTCCAATGTGGATGTATAGATGAGTAATAAGTTGCTGGCTCAGCGAAATCAAGCCATCAGTTGTCGTCAGAAGATCTATAATATCCTTGTACAGTATAGAGAGGGACTGTAAACAATGAGGCTCTCGTGTTCTCGAGAGATGAAACGAGGAACTTAGAGGCATTCTTCGATCCTGACGTCTTCAAAAGTGCATGTAAAACCATCGTATAAACAGATCTTCGGCACATCAACACTTGCTCTGAGAGCCCTGCAAAGACACAGAAATTCAGCAAAGGCTGAACTCGCACTGAGTCTCGCAGTTTCGTCTTCGAGATTGCAGTAACTGGAAAGCCTTCGTGACTTCCGACTGATGCCTGGCATGATGTTAACCATCACGAGTAGGATTCCAAATCAGGTTACGACAGCAGCAAGTTTCCAGCTGAATTCCCAGATTCGAGTGCATGAAACCAAGAGCGCTGCATATGCAGATTGAGTCAACTCACTCAATAATTGTGAACTTACATTTTGAAAAAAATGCATGTACAGGACTGTCCTCGGCGTCCGACCAGCTCTTCCGAATGCACAATACCGTGAGCAAAAAACACTTACTCCAGCGTAATGACACCCTGTGCACATCCTAGCACTGTCTACTCCAAAACAACAGATTTCTTAGCCATCCGATGTTGTCAAATTCCTCTCACTGATCAGGTGATCGTTTTGGAAAGTAAAGCCTTCCAACGATAGAAACTGGATCAATTTACCTCTCGGTGTTGCAGCAACACTTGTTCATTTCAACCGCGGAGCACAGTGGAGAACAGTTTCATCATCCAGGGTGACCTTGGAGGATGTCAAAGGTGCAGCAAATTTAACGGAGCAATATAAGTATAAACATTGATATATATCTGTAATTTAATTATCTGTGACGCTGTTTATAAGTGCCTCGTGCCCACTCTGTGTAGCAACTGGTGAGCAGACCGATCCCAGACAAAGTGGACACCGTGAGTGCTTGGCACAAGTCATTGAAGCGTGATTCGGTGGTCTTCAATTAGAAAGATTCCAAATACCAAATTGAGCTCCCTTACTCAGCAGCTGTGGATGAGGTGATCCGATGTTGTGATAGGACAGGCCTTGCGCTGCGTCCGTGTGGGTCCTTCGAGCATCCTAGAGCTGTTGAAAACGATTTATACCGTGGCAAGAAAAAAACGACATAGAGTGACCCTAATGTCAACTTGGTCCCTCCCTTCTGTGACGGATTAGAACTCGTACCCTTTCGGAGTTGAAGTCGTCGGAGTGCTTACCTTGAAAGTGTCTGAAATGGTCACGTCCCACCTCTTTGATGGTGGATGCGCACAGGAGAAACAGCGGATCACAGAGGAGAAGCGGAATCCAGTCTGGCACCGTGACCAGGCCTGCCATTTTTCTCCTGAACTCTCTCGTAGTCAAGAACCAATACCGTGGGCTGGGTGCAACTCTCGCCATGTTTCAAAGGCTATGTGACGTCTTCAATTTGGATCGGAGAACATGATGTCTTGGAAATACTGAAAAGTGAAACTTCGTATATGAAAAACAAATTCGAGGATTCTCTGAAGAAAATGGACGCAGATTGATCTATTTTGCGAGCCTACAGAGTTTGCAGCAGATGGGACCCGAGCTCTCTTGTCCGTGCTGAGAAGATGAAGGCCGCATCCGGAGGTTGTAAGCATCCTTTGTGCCAAAATTGGTCACGGATCCAATCCCGCAGAAAAGTTATTCAGAAGCAATTTCGTCCTAATAGATATTTTATACTAATTCTAGGGATTGAATCCCGTTCTGCGTTTGTGGCTATCTTCAGGGAAATAGCTCACGGAGAAGTACGCCATCTTTCCATCGGACAGAGTTTCTCATCTCATGCTCTATCAAACGCTAGACAGTTGGCTCTTCGATACTAAGGCACGAATATCAACCTAAATTTGAACACCTCAGCGATCACAGGAGTCAAGTTGTACATGGTCCCATCAAATTCCAAGAGGCTTCACTTCTGAAGCGGTAAGAATTTCAGAATGAGCTTTCAGATACTCAATTGGCTGGACATGGGAACCTGCTCAGTGTGCCATCTTTTGATAGATTGTTGAAAGCTTAAATTGTACACTCTACCCGTCTCAATGCACCCGAGAAGTCTTTGGAGCAAAAATGAGCGTATCCTAACGAAAGACAGAAGACATCGTAACCTCTGAGCCCAGTCAGGTGAAGGTTGTAATGGAGAAAACTTGTGTCTGCGACCTTGATGACCTTGATGTCGATCCGCTTTGACTCACAACCTGAAAGCATGTGAGAGAAAATTTGTCTGTCCAGTTCCATTGTTTGGGGAAGATGCGCAGTCCCCTAGAAGGTTGAAGCCCTTCAACCAAACGTGCTGAGAGGTCTGGGCTGGTAGAATTCTAGCATGGGAAGCTGCTACACATTGATAGATGCATGCTTTTGGGTCGGTGATCGCAATTCTCTATTCCAGTCTTGTTCTACGGAGCTTCGAGTCAGAATCTCTTCGTGACGTTTAGGTGTTTCTCGTGACAGTGGTCAGGCTCTGTCCTTAAAATCGAGCGACAATGTTGGCCATGCTGCCTTGTCTGTTCCCAAAGGGCTTGCTCTTTGGGGTTGCAAGAGTATGGGTAGGTCGGATACTGATCGTCGTTTGGGTTTGGATAGGAGAGAGATATTCACGTTTGTAGAACGCTGCTTGTAAGGCTGTAGTGCGTTTCTGTCAGAGGTCTTTTGTGTTCCCAGGGTCGCTCGACAATGTGCCATCTGTTCTGTTCTGTTCTCCATCTGGGCTTGTAGAGATGTATCTCAGCAGTCCGATCCATATCAAGAAGGGGTTGAGCACGTCTCCTGACCGGCATGACTGAAATCTCCGGAGTTCTTGCCCACATGAAGGTTTCCGAGAAAGGATGATCTAGAATTATCAAGTGCCATCACGGGAGCGGAAGAGTGTGGAAAGCACTGCCATGAGTTCACAGATAGAGCTTGACGGTCTCACTGGTCACCTTGGAGTGAAGGTACAAGCCCCTAATGATAGGAATTTCTGTGTTTCGAACTCAATAGCAGCGACTCGTATTGGGATCCAATAGCTTAAGGTTTGGTAATCCATCGGACTCCAACAGTATGCACATCTGAATCTTAGAAACTTTATTTACAGGCTGGAGGGAACGCATTTGATCGACTACAGAATCGAGAATATGAGGAGCGACTATTTCTATCCCGTGCTGATAGCTCTCTTTCCCAAATTCATGACAACTGGGACTCCGGACGATCCAGGTATTGCTGCTCTCATCGTCTTATATGCAAATCCGTCTCTTTGTTGCTCTATACTCGAGACAAAATCTCTCGTGGAAAGTGTTCTCTCTGTTCGCTGAGTTTCTTCCATTGTCCTGAGGTTTCAAGCGATTGTATGTAACATTTTTGAAAGGGTATTTTGACACATGCTTCATCACATGCGTAAATAATGGTTCGAAGCCAAAGAAGATCGAAACAAGATGCATTCTGTATGCCATCAACACATTTCTGATTCCTGTGATAATGTGAGGGGAACGTAATATTTGCAATAAGAAAGGCATTCATCTGACTGTATGCTTTCAGATTTGTTGGGAGTAGATGTAAAGCATATCATAATCAAAGCATAAAAGGGCCTGAAAATGCAGTTTTAACTCGTGACTGATTGTAGAGTGATGACATTGTCGATAATTGTATGAAAACTGATGAATGTTTCCCTACTTTCCTTCTCGTCACACTGTTATAGGCATAGTCCATCACTACAACTTATGTGTTCCAGACGGACGAGGTCATAGGGTCTACTTTAACTTTTGGATGTTTGGGATTGATTGGCAGCTTTGTATTGCATTCACCCTTCAGAACTCGAGTCTAAAACTTTGTCTCATGGCAGTTCGGACATTTATACAGGGCTGCCAACAAGAATGCTGAGGCTAAGATTATTATCACTCCTTTCCATGTTTCTGAGAAACGTTTGGAAGGTCGGCAGATACTTATCAGGAAAGTGCAAACTACGTCGGACGTGGCCACAATCCCGTGCAATCAGCCCAGACGAGTTCTTGGGGTTTTCAAGGTTTCCAATTGAGCTTGCTGGGACAGATCGGTGCTTGTCAAAGCCTGCCACAGTTAATGGTATAGAACTATGCGCCTGGGTTCACTGATGGAGGTCCGAGGGAATACTGCCTGCAACTGAGCTTTCGGACTGGGTAAAAATTTATATCCTTCGAGAGGCATGAAAGAAACTAGTTATGATATCATGCGTTTGTTCTGCACCAAATGATGCAAGGGGTCAGAGATTCGATCAGATGGAACCAGAGATTTTAGGCTTGAAGAGGTACCCCGAATGCCAGAACTGCAAGCATTCTCTCGTGCCCTGGACGGAATGAGCTGCAAGAAGAGATGGGAACGAAGGAGGAGAAAGACAACTGAATTCATCAAAGAAGATGGGTTCTTTTGTGCTGTAACTATGCTTCAGAAGAAGAATGTCAATTTTCCCCTTCTGGACTCCGGCCAGGAGACTCGATCAGGAGCACCGATGAGGAAGTTACGAAATTAACCCTGGACCAAAATGATGTTGGATTCGAGGGATGCAGAAGCTTCGTGCAGCATGTAACAAGTGATGTTCCGCAACATTCTGACTTTTATCAGTGCCTCTTACACTGGTCCCTACGCGTGGGTGTTTGTTCTTACAATGATGATTTGTTGATGTGAATTTTGAGTGTCATTGCCTTCGAATAGGCGTCTGTCAAGTTGTGGGAAGATACTCGGATTTTTGTAGGCTCTACGTGGAATCTTCACATGTCCTGACGATTGCAAAACCTCGTGCACTTCTACATTTTGGATTTAGAAATGATTTTGATTCATCCATTGATAATACAAAATCGTAAATTCCTATCCTCACGTTCTGTATCATTTTTCTGAACAACCAATTTCGAAGAAGATGAAAATTGCAATAGGTACATACTCGGAGACGGAGGAGTTTTTGGGAGTATACAATCTATAGAATCATAAAGGGTTTATGGGAGTCCAGAATAGCCATCAAATGGTCTTCACTGTTTACAAAAAACTTAATGGCTGTATTTGCTAAAGCCCGCTGTTACATGCAAAAAGCAATACCACCCTACAGGGAGCCTTCCAAAACTCGTCTATATTCATTTGCAGCTAAGTATCATCATTTTGAAGATCGAAATGTCCTTCGATTTATCCTGATCAATAAGTAACATTTGAATAGAGTATATACTCAACAGTCGATACAGTTTCTATCTGAAGTTCGATTCGTGGATTTTTTAAAAATATTCCACGAACTGAACTGCTTTTGCTGGCTTGAGTCATAATTTCACATAAGATATGAAGTTGTTTCTAAACATGATCTGCTTCTAGCGCAGAACGACCTGGAGACGGCCTGTGAAAACATCCGCAACTTTTCCAGCTATTCTACTACAAACTAAAACCAAACACGCGAACGCATTTAGATGAAATAGACATACGACATAACATATTCAATACACTTCTCACCAAAAATCTTAACATTCCAAAATCATACATCATATTACTACAATCTTGGAACATACTGATTAAAAAAAAAAAAAGCCTTCAGTTACATGAGAACATTCTCGTAGTATATTATATTTGGCATGTACAATTGAGTGTCGAACTCTTCGAAATTACATAAGCTCGTCTTCGGTAATTCACAAACTCTAAAGAACATAGAGCTATATCCTCGAGGCCACAGGCAATTTCGATTTAGAATCTCTATACATTCACTGGAAAGGGCAGACAGTCAAACCCTTGGCAGTGGCAGGTCGGGCCATACACCTTTCTTTCCATGCAACTACATTCGGAAAGTTAGACACACCTAGATACTCAGCTGCATGGTAACCGAAATCGAGGCAATGGACCCAAGGGAATGAAGCCATATCAGCGATTGTGTATTCGTTCCCAACGAGGAAATCTGTACCCTCCAGACGCTTTTCGAGCACGCCGAGAATGCGTTTTACCTCAGTGGAGTACCTCTGCAACGGGTAGGGATGATCACACTTGTCCTTGGCATACTTGTAGAAATGTCCAAACTGGCACAATGTACAATCAAATAAACATTTCAAGAATTAGTGACCAGTCTAATTGAAAACAGTTCACAACACTACATTTACCTCCTTGACATTGAGATCGACTTCGATTTCACAAAAATGACAACGAAGCAAAGAAAGACAATTCGTCAGGAGAAAGAGATGGAGACTTGAAAACTTCGATTTCTTGAACATAAGGGCGTTCGTTTTCAGTCAGGCATTGTATAGTTGCACACAAAATGATGAAGAACATGATATCGAGAAAAGGGACACACAATCACTAACCTGTCCAAACATCGGACCGACTCCTCCCATCTGGAAGAAAACCCATTGAATAGTTTCGTACTTCAGGCGGGGATCGGCCGGTAGAAACTTTCCTGTCTTCTCTCCTAGGTATAACAATATAGCTCCACTCTCAAACACATTGATTGGTTTACCATCTATTCGTGTACACAAGCCAGAACCACAGCCATAGATTAGATCAAGCGTCTTGGATATCACATCTATGCTACACGACCAACAAGTGGCGAGAAAGAAGGGAATCACGTTGGCAGCATGTACCATCCAAGAACATACTCTGATTTCGCTAAATAGTGTCACTCACAAAATTTCACGGCCGCATGCAAATTCAGAGTTGTCATCTTCAGTCTAGTTTCACTACTATCGAAGATCGAGAACGCTCGCTCAACAGCTTCACAACTTCTCTACGACCATCCAATTTCGAAGTACGGATATCATACAATCAGCCCAAGTGTAGATACAGAGGTCATGGGGTTGGTAGACCAAATACCTGGACCATTTGGATCTGTGATTGCCGGGATTTTTGAGTTGGGGTTGACGGCAATAAACTCGGGTGTGAATTGGTCGCCCTTCATGATGTCGATAGTGTGGGCATTGTATTCCAGACCCATCTCCTCCAATGCAACGCTCACCTGCACAATACACACACGCACTCAACTTGCGTCACAACAAATTAGAGAAAATCGACCCCGTCGCTCTAAACATTACTACAACCTTTAATGAGCTCCCAGTTATCAACGACAGAATCAATTTCAAAAACGCTGAAATAGTGAGCGTATCAATTACATGCGGCACAGACATAGCCATACCTTCATTCCATTGGGAGTAGCCAGACTGTAAAGCTCAATCTTGGATGCCATTATGGAAAATTTAGCCCGCTTCCTGCTGAACAAAGTGACAAATCGTTCATCTCAGCTCAGAAGACCTTCATTACCTTGAAATTCTAACAAGCCGGACGTTCACTCAACATCATCGATCTTCCTCAGTAATCGACAACAGAGCCTTACAAGGTACTCCACGGCGCAGGAGTAACACGACCCTGACTCTTCAAAACGATCGGACTTCGCCGACCTAGCTCAATTCCAGATCCAAAAGCAGAGCGCACGACAGACACGGAGTTGCACAAGCTGAACATGTCGACCACCCCGAACCGACCCACCCCACAAAACCCCGATCTCGTCACAGCGCGCGCAATTGGAAGCCCCTGCTGCTGCTCCGCCGCGCGCTCCACCAGATGCGGCAGCACGAGAAGAAAAAGTACTTACCGATTTGTGATTGGAGACCTCAAGGCAGACAGAATCGCGCAGTCGCAGTCGGTCTAGGTGCTCTGTTCTGTGCTCGCCTCCGATTTGATGTCGACGCTCAGCGATACATTCCAGAAAAGCTCCGCGATGCCTTATAAAGCTCGCTCGCTCGCTGCGGCCACGAGTCGGCGCAAGACCAGAGACGAATCCAAGACCAGAGCAGAGCTCACGAAAGAGCCCGAGAACCTTCATCTCGCTGCCAAAAGCACTCCTCTCTTATTATTAACCCGTACAATTAATTGGTCGGGCATTTTGACTTCTTCTGATAAATAATAATAATAATAACAACGCATCTTTTACGGGGGATTCACTGATGACTGAAGTCAAATTAAAACTTCTCTTGATAATGTTCCCAACCTTGGACGTGAAAAAGGGTAGCCTTTCCGGATCTCCTTTATGGAGTTTGTACAGTAATACTGGGGGTGTATTGAAGCCTTCTACTTATACGGGGCTATGCAATATTTTAATGTAGTTTAAGAAATGTTTTTGGGGATTCTCCAAGAATCGAGGAAAAATTTCTTTTTGGAATTTGGATTGTGAAAAAGCTTTACTGAAATGGCTGGCTTTCATATAAAAATTCAGACATGTTTAATGTATCACATGGAATTATCTCTAATACTCCTATGATCTTCTTATAGATGTGACACAAACCGTGTCCTAACTAGTCCATTAACAATGGACTTTGTTCTTTTGCCCGGACGTGGAGGAAATTTTTGTAGGAGTTGATGGACAAGTTATGCACATTGTCGTGAATAAAAAAGACGGCGCCCAGATAGATGATAAGTAGGGATGGGAAGACATCAGTTAGTGTGTATACTTGTCTGCATCAAGTGACATCAATAAGTGCACAGTTGTTGGGATTGAACTTCAATAACGGACTAGTTTTTTTTATGCCATATGCTGGGATTGTACGCCACCGACCAGATTTTTCCATACTCTTGAGAAGCGCAAGGCAACAGTAAATCTCCATGCCATCACATAACCAACCAAAACCACGTTACCGAAGTATTACCGAAGTATTGTGTTTAACTAGGATGTGATATCAATCATGTGTACACATTTGAAATTAACTTTAGAATTAACAAAATCTTTTAATGAACTGTTGGTTGAGTAGTCAAAAGCAAAAAAAGTAGTAAAAGCTCCACAATTTAGATGGAATAACATTAAATGTTCTTAGTGTAGCCGAAGTTAATTGTTTCAATGAGGGGATCTCTAGTGCCAAAGAAGCATTATAATGGTGGTTTTAAGACTCACAACTATTCCTAAGTTGAAAAGTAATTTTGGATTCTCCGGATTGAAAAAAAATTGATTCTACAATAATTTAGGTATGTTACATGGAGTTGACGTCTATGTTTTAGGATATTTTGAGCAATATTCACCGAGTCTGGTAGAAACACTAAGCGGGAGTGGAGGAGGGGTAGGTGTTGTTGGAGCTCGCGGTTGTGGTAGTGTGAGCAAGGATATAGTACACAAGACTCAAAGTTTGGAAGTGGAGGAGGTGTTGTTGGAGCTTGTAGTAGTGGTAGTGAGAGCGAGGATGTATTGCACAAGACGCAAAGTTTGGGAGTGAAGGAGGAGCTGTTGTTGGGGCTCGCAATAGTGGTAGTGAGAGCGAGCATGTAGTACACCAGACGCAAAGTTTGGGAATGAAGGAGGAGGTGTTTTTGGAGCTCGTAGTAGTGGTAGTGAGAGTGAGCATGTAGTACACAAGATGCGAAGTTTGCAAGTGGAGTAGGAGGTGTTGTTGGAGCTTACAGTATTGGTAGTTAGAGAAAAGATGTAATGCACAAGACACAAAGTTGGGGAGTGAAGGAGTAGATGTTGTTGAGGCTCACAGTAGTGGTAGTGAGAGCGAGGATGTAGTGCACAAGACGCGAAGTTTGGGAGTGGAGGAGTAGATGTTGTTGGCGCTCGCGGTTGGGGTAGTGGGAGCGAGGATGTAGTACATAAGACAAAAAGTTTGGCATTGGAGGAGGAGGTGTTGTTGGGTCTCGTGGTAGTGGTAGTGAGAAAGAGAATGTAGTACACAAGACGCGAAGTTTGGGAGTGAAGGAGGAGGTTTTGTTGGGGCTCGCGGTAGTGAGAGTGGGAGCGAGAATGTAGTACACAAGACGCAAAGTTTGAAAGTGGAAGAGTAGGTATTGTTGGGGCTCGCGATAGTGGTAGTGAGAGCGAGGATGTAGCGCACAAAGATACAAAGTTTGGGAGTGAAGGAGGAGGTATTGTTGGGGCTCACAGTAGTGGTAGTGGGAGCGAAAATATAGTACTCAAGACGCGAAGTTTGGAAGTGGAAGAGGAGGTTTTGTTGGAGCTCGTAGTAGTGGGAGTGAGAGAGAGTATGTAGTGCACAAGACGCAAAGTTTGGGAGTGGAGGAGGTAGTATTGAGGCTCGTGGTAGTGGTAGTGAGAGCGAGAATGTAGTACATAAGACGCGAAGTTTGGAAATGAAAGAGGAGGTGTTGTTGGAGCTCGCAGAAGTGATAGTGAGAGCGAGGATGTAGTGCACAAGACGTGAAGTTTGAAAGTGGAGGAGGAGGTGTTGTTAGGGCTCGCGGTAGTGATAGTGGGAGCGAGGATGTAATACAGAAAGTGCAAAGTTTAGAAAGACTTGTTTGCTATACTTGTTGAAGAAATAAGAATCAAGGTAGGAGCAAGAAACGAGACATCTATTTAAAACGAACAACTTCCGTTCCTCTTGTAGAAGCGGACATTCAATCCATGGCTGCGTTGCTGTTGCTTTCATAATTACTTCTAGCTTGTCTATCTTGCTTGATATATATGCATGTGCAGTATTTTTCACGTGTTTTAGGACCAAGTACTTGTAAGCGTCAAGCAATGATTATAGAGGACGCGTCTAAGGTCAATGATGGGTGGGTTGGATTTTCCAAAGGGAGTAATTTGAAAAGCTCCGGCAAATAATCTTCAAAATTGATGGATTCTGAGATGTTGAAAACTTATGCAATCGATACTTTGGCCGGCCGTTCTAAATGGATGATGTGGTTGAAGATGAGCTAATAACTAGTATGGTGGTCAACCTTATCCACTATTTGATAATTTGAAACTGGGCCAATTGTAAAATACATACCTCTAACAAGGGTTCAAGATTCATCGTATAAGGAGGAAAATTGGAATTCTAAGAGAGTTAGAATCAAGAACTTCGGTACGAAACAATCTGCAGTTGATAGAAGTAGTGAACGTGGAGGTGACGTAAAAGGCAAATGGAAAGATGAAGAAGGGATTGTAGAGGAAAAAGATGGTAGGTACGCTGAGTACGAGCAAACTCTACTCTTGGCGGATCGTCAAAATTTCTATATGCCCATAAGGGAGAGGCTAGTTATCTCTCACTTAGAGCTAATTAGCTCTGACTCTACTCCAATCTTTTCTCCAATTGGTAGATGTAGGTGTATGGGATGAGTAGCACCTACTTCTACTTCCACGAATCAGAGGTTATACTAGGGTGAGGCTAATTAGCCCTAAGCGAGGGATAACTAGCCCTCCCCGCCCAGAATGTGAGGAAGCCTTAGACACATAAAAATAAGTACCACCTCCGTCGCGACGAGTTATGGTGTACACCTAGAAGCTTGAAACTAGTACAGTATCTCATGAGCAACTACTCTAGGCTTGCATAGGTGAAAGCATATCTTCGCTGCAGAATGACGAGACGATCGAGCTTGGAACGCAGTCTTGAGTGATGCTACAGCAATGATGTGATCTATCTTTTCGTAGCCCAAATTTGATGTGTCACTGACCCTAGAATCGCAAAAGAACTAAATTGGCAGGATCCAGTTGAAGCTTGTTGAAGATATCTTCCTTACTGAAGATGAGGCCAATCTCTTTCTGGATGCTTTTGGTATACTATATAGCCCTTTTTGGTAGAAGATCAAACTGCCATGAAATGCAGACCTTCAGCAAGTGGAGGAGGTTGTAGAAGATGATTTCGGGCCATAGACCAACCTTCGACTCTAAGATTGGTTTGATATAAGAATAGCCATATGCCTTGCTCGTTTCCTTGCAAAATGTTTTCAACATTCTTACGTCTTTCCAAATAATGGATTAAGTGAAAAGCCTTCATCTCAATAGTCTGACAATATTTCTACTCCTGATCCACCCTGATGCGCTCTATCCACGGTAGTGTAGGTAGATCTGACTAAAGAATATTAAATATTAATACAAGGCTTCCAAATATGAATGAGATGTTAAAAGTTCCTATGAACAACTTTGCACATCTTACTGTACATGGTTACAAATGATCCAGAATCTATCTTTTGATTCGATTACAATTTAATGAACTGTAGAAAGTTCTAAAGTTGACATCCCCATCAACCCAACCCCGCGATCACAACTCCTCCGCAGAAGGCAACAAACTGTGCAGATTTTTTCAAAGTCTCTGGAAATAGATCTGTCGGCATGCTTTGGGTCATTGAATGTAAACGTTCTTTGGTCCACGCTCAAGGAGAAGGAAGGAACGAAGGAAGGAACGGAACGCTCCCACGCTCAACTACGGTGTCAGATATACCTGCCTCCATCAGGCACTAAAATCTTCCTCTTCGCTATTTACTTTTGGACATGATCACATTGTGGTACTGTTTTGCTCTCTACCATCCTCCCATTGTGATGCTCTTGGGGCTAGCCCATCTTACTCCTTTGATTTCATCCTTTTGGGCTTGATGGTCTTCTCATGTCATATCTCTCTATATTTCTTTTGCTTCGTTCTTCTACGATCAAAATTTACACTCCTCATTTCGCCTTGAAAATTCGTGGCATTCTTTACCTATTGTAGTAACTCCATTGGGGAGTACTTCCAGCTTCGACCTTACATATTTACATCACAAATTATAAAATACATGTCTATCTATTGGGCTGTTAGTACCAAGCAGACGAGAATGAGACATGAGTGTGCTGGTTAGAATAGATGGAAGCAAGGTATAAATGTACGTGGTATGACCTTAACGTCCAGGAAAAGAACTTTGTTTATGACATAACATGGTGAAAAATGTATGGAGTGTAGAGGAAGTGCAGATAAGTGAATGAGGAGGTGTACAAACAGGACGGGTTTAGCTGCACAAACTTATACATAGCCCCTATATAGGGTCTTCATAGACCCAGGCAGGTGTCATCTTGCAGTGACCCGTGACAGAAGTTCTTCTTTTCG